TGCTTGTTTTATTACGGAATAAACCATAATTATCTTCATGTTTTATCTATTGTTTGTTTACACGTTAATTTAAAACTGAGGAAATTAATAATGTACTCAACTGTATAATATATTTTATGTTTATTTATACACCTGTAACGGAATAAACCATATTTTCATGCCATTTCAATTAAAATTTCTTTTAGGTAAGGAAGCCATGCGTTTGCAGAGACACAGTCCTGTATATTTTTGTGAATTTACAAAACACATTATGTCATTTGAACAGGGAATACATCTCTGTACATACATGATATCATTTCTTCGATCTTTACTGTATCTGATCTTTAAATTCAATGCCATAACAACAATTAAAGAAAAATACGCTTTCACATTTACTCCTAACAATAGGAACAATGACTAACAGATGCATGAATAGCGTTCACCTATGGTCCAGTTAACACTGCTAAACAATTGAGAATGGCGTTTGTAAAAAATCTACCTCTGTTCATTCGCACCGGTGCAAATCTACCTCTGTTCATTCGCACCGGTGCGAATAAGTATAACTCTATTTTCATCCATAAAATGCCTTTTCATCATGAATATCCCCCCCCCCCAAAAAAAATCCAGAGAACTTCAGCTTGAAAATGGAAATTAAGATTGTCTGTATATATATACTCCTGTTATTCGCACCGGTGCGAATAAGTATGGCCCTATGTCCTTTCATAAAATGCCAATTTTAGAGGGAATATCCCCCCAAAAACTCCAAGCCCCATTTTTTATATACTCTCCCCCAAAGAAACCCTTTTCCCGAGAAGTCTTCCCTTTCCAGAGCATTTTAGCTTGAAAATGGAAAGATCGTCGGTATATATATACTCCTGTTATTGTCCTTTCATAAAATGCCAATTTTAGAGGGAATATCCCCCCAAAAACTCCAAGCCCCATTTTTTATATACTCTCCCCCAAAGAAACCCTTTTCCCAGGAAGTCTTCCCTTTCCAGAGCATTTTAGCTTGAAAATGGAAAGATCGTCGGTATATATATACTCCTGTTATTCGCACCGGTGCGAATAAGTATGGCCCTATGTCCTTTCATAAAATGCCAATTTTAGAGGGAATATCCCCCCAAAAATTCCAAGCCCCATTTTTTATATACTCTCCCCCAAAGAAACCCTTTTCCCGGGAAGTCTTCCCTTTCCAGAGCATTTTAGCTTGAAAATGGAAAGATCGTCGGTATATATATACTCCTGTTATTCGCACCGGTGCGAATAAGTATGGCCCTATGTCCTTTCATAAAATGCCAATTTTAGAGGGAATATCCCCCCAAAAACTCCAAGCCCCATTTTTTATATACTCTCCCCCAAAGAAACCCTTTTCCCGGGAAGTCTTCCCTTTCCAGAGCATTTTAGCTTGAAATTGGAAAGATCGTCGGTATATATATACTCCTGTTATTCGCACCGGTGCGAATAAGTATGGCCCTATGTCCTTTCATAAAATGCCAATTTTAGAGGGAATATCCCCCCAAAAACTCCAAGCCCCATTTTTTATATACTCTCCCCCAAAGAAACCCTTTTCCCGGGAAGTCTTCCCTTTCCAGAGCATTTTAGCTTGAAATTGGAAAGATCGTTGGTATATATATACTCCTGTTATTCGCACCGGTGCGAATAAGTATGGCCCTATGTCCTTTCATAAAATGCCAATTTTAGAGTGAATATCCCCCCAAAAACTCCAAGCCCCATTTTTTATATACTCTCCCCCAAAGAAACCCTTTTCCCGAGAAGTCTTCCCTTTCCAGAGCATTTTAGCTTGAAAATGGAAAGATCGTCTGTATATATATACTCCTGTTATTCGCACCGGTGCGAATAAGTATGGCCCTATGTCCTTTCATAAAATGCCAATTTTAGAGTGAATATTCCCCAAAAAACTCCAAGCCCCATTTTTTATGTACTCTCCCCAAAAGAAACCCTTTTCCCGGGAAGTCTTCCCTTTCCAGAGCATTTTAGCTTGAAAATGGAAAGATCGTCTGTATATATATATACTCCTGTTATTCGCACCGGTGCGAATAAGTATGGCCCTTTGTCCTTGCATAAAATGTTTATGCACACGGGCAAACTTTCAAATTTCATTTATAAATTTCTTATTTTATATTGTGAAGATAAAATATAAAAAAACGCTTGAAATTTGTATGTTTATTATGTAGGCTACATATAGATTCAGTCCTGAACTCTTGATTTCCCTTTCCAGTATTTAGTAGCACCTCCACCTATAAAACTCTCAAATACTGACCTCACATCGACCAATGGTTTTCATTTGACATAACGTCAATAACGTCAAATATTATTCACCCCGCGGAGCGAATAACAGGATAATGCCGTCTCCCGCCGGAAGAATCACATGTATGCATTATTCGTAATAATATCAGGTCCGACAAAATCTCCTCATTTAGCTATACAAAATTAAATAAGGCAAAGCTTAATTAAGCTATTTTAATAGCTTGCCATCTTCGCTAGCCAAAGGTTTTTGATACGCTACTCTCCTCTTAAACCCTGCTTATGAGGAGAGTATCGTATCAGAAACCCTTGGCTAGCGAAGATGATAGCTTGCTAGCAATTTTATTTCAATATTATTTTATCTTTAAAAAGGCCGAGGCTATCCGCACGACGGTCGTGCCGATTACCGAAGTTATCCGCCCGACGGTCGTGCTAATTACGGAAGCTATTCGCACGAAAGACTTTGAAACAATTTTATATTTGTTTTTTGTTTACAACTTTATATTTATATAATTAATATTTGTATATACTTTATTTATTTAAATAAATTTTTAATCGGTGCTTTGCTATTGTATGTAGAATTTTACATATTAGACGGACACAAAAAGTGAACTTATTCCTTACCATGCTTACTCTTCCGAAATTCCTAGCTTATTCAAAGGCTAGAGTGTTTGCCACGGCATACTAGTAATTACGATTACGATTTTTCAAAAAGAAAAACAACGGCCTTTTTTCGAAATACGACACTCAAATTTCAATATTATATATTAGAAAAAAAAAGCTTCTGGACAGTCCGACACTGACGGTTAATTCACTCCAATTTGTGCAAGTAGTGCCATTTAAAAAAATAAAGGGTTTCTTCTTTAAAATCCTCTGGAATGTAACAAATTTTCCTGAGATTCAGAATATTTTTAGACTTGATTGAATTGTTCTAGCTCTGTGCCAAATTTCAAGTGAGTTGAGGCAGTTAAATTCTTTAAATTAATTTTTATGTTATAAAGGAATATATTATAGCGAAATAATTGGTAATCTGTGTCCTATGATACATGTACTGTACACGTGAATTATTATATCGGAATCCAAGATTACGGTCTCAGTATTGTAATAAAGTGGACTAAATGTGAATCTATCCCATGCTTTTGTTTTCAAATATTTACATTTACATCTCTGAAATTAAATTCAGTGTCTTTTTGTCTTTTCTTTCATGGACATGGATTATATCGTATCATATTGATTTTGAAGAATTTTTGAATGAATTTAAATGGTTCCTAACTGTATATTTGAAAAAACTCCAAACAAGTTTGATCAACGTACTTAAATTAGAAAACGTTTAGACGAAACCTTGTATATGTTCACTATCAAAGTATATACATGTAACATTGTATAAATTAACTAAAAAAAATCCTCTGTGAATATATTAGAAATTAATTGATTTACTACTTAAAATAAAATTTATTTTTAAATAAAATAAATGGGAAAAATACGACAGAATATTTAAATCATTTTATAATATATATGTGAAGTAATGTAAACGTTATTTTTTCCACGGGGTCACAATTCCACGGAATCACAAAGAACTGCGAACGATAGTATTGTTCTGCCGCCTCAAGTCAAATTTCAAAAGTTAACATATTTGAATGATTTTTCATATCTAATATAGGTATTTAAATATGTGAATTTTCATAAAACATAACTTATTTGGGAAAACAAAGAGAGATAACTCTTTAAATTTGGTAAAATCAGCGTTTTTCACTACAGAAATCAACGGAAAACATTTTAAAAACATCTCTCTCTCTCTCTCTCCCCCCGTGAAACAAAAATTCCTTTTTATAGGTTTTATGAATTGTTATTTCACAAACCCCCCTTTTGAATAAGAGTCGTAAATAAGAGCACTTAAGTTTTTGGCCCTGGTTTTAAAATTATTAATCAATTAATAATAAACTCTTCTTTGCATTCAAATAGGTTTTAATGGCCAAACTGCCATTTATATTGAATTAAATGGGTGCAAAATGTAGGCGGGAATTTCGAGTTAGCGTGCGTGGTTCTTCTGTTCAATTCGCGGACAGAAAATTATCCGAATTTTTTATTGCCTTTGCACGTCTTAAAGATTTTTAAACTTATACGCTGTGATATATTTTTTCACATATAGCGTTATTAATTAATCCCACGAGAAAAAAGTACGTCTACAGTAGCTGGAATGAGAGAGAGAGAGACTTAGAGAGAGAGATTATTAAGCCATCCAGAAAAATGGAAAATTATTGAAAGAGAATATAAACACATAAAAACGAAAGAAAATTATTGAAAATAAATATATCTATATTTTTTTTTTATATATATTTCCAGTCAAAATAATGTTAGAAGTACGTTACATTTACCCAAGAGATGATGATAAAGGACGAATTAAAAAATAGTTCTTATTATACTGTGTCACGACGATTCACGAAGAAAATTCAACGTTAGCAAATTTTGCTTAACTGAACGTTAGATGCATCCCTTTTCCTTTGGATTAAATTTTTGGTGAAAAGTTTACGTTGGTTATTGTATATAATTCTAGTTATCTCTCTTGTGTCGTGCGGATAAGAACTGTTATTAGCACGACCGTCGTGCGAATAACGAAAATAATCGGCACGACCGTCGTGCCGATAGACATTTCCCTTTAAAAATGTCAAAAATATAAATAAATCAAATAAAAATTGCATACAGTCAAATGCCACAATGCATCAAGTTACTTTAAAGCTCCCCAAGTTGAGACATACCTTGGGATAAAATGCATCTTTCTCTGAGCTTCCAAACACCTTATTTTCAATTATATCTAATCTGTTCTCTAGCGCATCTAATTCATGGTCAGCCATGTTGAATTGAAAGGGCTAATACCTGTAAATAGTCATAAAAGACTTCGCAAAAGTATTTTTTAAAAAACGTACAACTCTACTTTGAAAACACATATTTTTCAAAATCCCAGTAGTTTTTTCTACCTAAATTAATTTTTCATAAGTACTGAAAGTTAAAAAAAAAAAGGAAATATAAAACCGAACCCGATGATATCTAAAATATTCCGAATTTCCCCTCTTCTAATCCCGGAAAAGGAAGCACGAGGTACACGTCACAACATTGACTATAGTGACAGGCAAAGACGCCAAAGTTGATTTAAAGAAGAATGAAGCTTAACACACGCTACTTGGTTTTGTTGGGTTTCCTAGCTCTGTTTTCACTTTCTTTGGCTGTAGAATCAAGCAACGAGGAAGAGAAGGTTGATCAAGAAAAAGTAGATTATGCGAAAGGTTCAGTTTGTGGATATTGTGAATACTGCAAGGTAGGACAAAGTTTGTGAAACGCAGAGGAACCAGGAAACAATTTGTGATTTAAAGCATTTAAGTCTGTATAAACGGAATTTTTCAAATTAAAAGAATAGTTTAATTGTTACAGTTTTTATGTGAAATGGTGAAGTCACTGTCTAAATGGAATGCAAACTTTTAAACTTTAAATTATAAATTAAATTATAAATATGTAAGCTAAGAAGATAAAAAAGAAAAAGAAAAATCCTTTTCAGTTCTGCAAGCTGTGTGATAAAGACTGCCCATGTGAAACTAGTCCATCAAAGCCCAACTGTAAAATGTGCAAGGTAAGTTGCAGATAGTTTTGTAGGTGATTTTAGGGCTGTACTGTTCAAGATTGTAGTAGTTCTACATAGCTCCTTATAGAATCTTTTAGTACAAGAGTTAACGTCGCAGCTATTGTAGAAAAAAAATTACATAACCTGTTTATGCGGGTTATGTATTTCTTCTGCAGCAGCTGCGATATGTTAATTCCCGTACTAACAACCGAGGAAAGCATTTTATTGTTTAATACAACCTAGATATCTAACATGTCTAACTTAACAGGTAGGCTAGATTCTATGAACAGGAAAACAGCCCTGGAATTTAAAAAGGGGTGTTTTGAAAATAAATAAATGAATTATATAATATTTAATAAATAATGTGAAGAAAAATACTCGAGTATTGAATGTTTAAATAGAATTAAGAGGGGTGATCACAAAGTTTCTGGGGTACGTTATACAAAAGAAATTACAACTAAGACCAAAATTATATTCTGCTGTTAATTTTTTTACTTTTTAATTTACATTATATTGACTATTGGAATCACAGGTACTTGACGTTTTAAACCTTTCTCTTTAATGATAAAAATATCCCCATACTATAATAATAACAAGGTACGTCACGGTCGCCATCTTGAATTTTTCAGGTCAACTACATCGCCTCGATTTTTTGTCTACAACATGTTTAAAATCAACAGACACAACCACCAACGTTAATTACTTACTTTAGATATGTCTCAACTTTCGGGTTATTCCACTGAAATCACGTAACATCCATTCTATTTATTCAAATATCGCTCCAAACTCAGTCTACTGCTTCCGATTCAGTAAATCTTAGAAAAGGGAGGCCGGAAGTTGATGCTTTTATGTCATAATGCGGGATAGCCCTTTTCTGATTGGTCCTTATATTAACATGGAATAATAATGAACTGAAAAACACGTTCGTATGGGGAAAAGAATGAAATCTGAGCACATCACATTTTATATTTACTTATTATATTGACACGTATTCATATATATATTTGCACATAATTGGTTTCAGACTACATGCTGTGTACTTTTTACATTAACATTGGAGTAGTCCCACACTTAATTAAAAAAAAGATGGGGGGGGGTCCAAGAATTACTGTAATATACAAGAAAGGAGATGTCTATGAGAATCGTCAAAAACTTTTAAAAAGGGTTTGAATGGAGTAAATCAAAACATAATAATGAAAAGGAGGAAAAAATACCAGACGCAGAGCTCAAACATGATGCTTTTGCTTCATGATACTTTTGCTCGCCTCTCTTCTGAAATTTCTAATAGACTCGTAATACATATATTTCACCTAAAGGAAGGTGGAATGAGGGTTCAGACATAAGCACTAGCTCATCTGATATTAAAAGGTCTTTTATACGTTATATATTTAAATTCAGCGGTGGAAAATTATTTTAAAAAAGGGGGGGGGGATTCACTTATGACTGACTGACTATTTATTTTTAATTTTTTCAAATTATTTTTTATTTATTTATTTATTTTGCGTGTTTTTTTTATTCTACCCCCCCCCCCCCCCCCCGAAAAAAAAGATGCTACGTGCCTCAATCACTTTGCATAATATATCTGCCTGTTTTTTGAGTAATGACCTACAGGTGGTATGGGTTCCAAGTGTCTGCTTTCACGAAATCCTGTCAACAAATAACAGCAATGGCGGACTGGAACTAAAGCGACTCTGCTGTAAACCCATTATCCTTCATAACTGTTACAATCCTTTTATTTAACCTAAGAACAGTCTACCTTCGTTTCATAAGAAATATTTTTTCCAGTACCTGCTTACTTAGAAGAATACAACTTTGCCGATCTCTTTAAAGAATTAAAAAAAAAAACCAAAAAAAAAAAAAACCCGCGCACCACAGGTACTTGGTATACCCCCCCCCCCATTTATTTTAATCCGGGATCTCTCTTTTTTTTTCTAATGCTAGTACATTGTATGCATCACATGTTATTGATGTTGTAACCCTTTCTCCTCTATTAGTTATTTGAAAATAAATGTATCTCGCTTTTGACTGATACATGTATAGTTGAAACAAGCCTTTTACAAAAAATTTCAACGAGGATGAAAACTCAATAACATGTATTAAATAAACAAAACACACCAATGGGAAAAAATGTGTTAATTCCAGATAACAGAAACAACTCTAAGTGGATGATATCTCTGAAAAGCGTGTAATAGTTGTTTTAAAAAGCACATGCTGTCTCTGCCGGACTTTTCCCGCGAAATGTCATTTTTCTTTTAACCAATCAAATATAACTGAAGGGTATTCTCATTTACATAAAAGCATCAACTTCCGGCCTCCCTTTTCTAAGATTTACGAATCGGAAGCAGTAGACTGAGTTTGGAGTGATATTTGAATAATTAGAATGGATGTTACATGATTTCAGTGGAATAACCCGAAAGTTGAGACATATCTAAAGTAAGTAATTAACGATGGTGGTTGTGTCTGTTGATTTTAAACATGTTGTAGACAAAAAATCGAGGCGATGTAGTTGACCTGAAAAATTCAAGATGGCGACCGTGACGTACCTTGTTATTATTATAGTATGGGGATATTTTTATCATTAAAGAGAACGGTTTAAAACGTCAAGTACCTGTGATTGGAATGACTGTTTTGCATAACTGACACACCCTCAGTTTATTTTAGGTAACATAAAGTAAACATGCAAGAAAAAAGTTTTCACAAAAATCTCATTTTCTAGTAAATTTTCAAGAAAGCAGATATAAATGGACACATAGAGCTGTTATATAATGTTTTAAATATTTATGCCCCTCTTCGAAGAATTGCTTTGCTGCTGTCTGTTGGTCATTCTGATGGTCTGTTCGTCTGTCAGTACACCAACAGTTTCTGTTCATTTTCTTCGCAGAGGTTGCACATACTTGTATAAAATTTGGTATACAGATTTATCATAAAAATATCTAGGTCAAGTTCTGTTTTGGGTACGATCGAGCAATTTTTGACAGAGTTATGCACCTAAGACTTAGAAAAATTCCAATTATTTGCAGTTTCCATTCATTTTCTTTGCAGAGGTATACAGATTTATCATAAAAATATCTAGGTCAAGTTCTGTTTTATGTACAATCGAGTAATTTTTTTTGTTTTATAAACAGATCTTGTTCACTTTATTTTGAGTATCTTTAATGATTAAACAGTAATATGATTAGAAAAAATGATGCCATGCAGAAAGCTAAGTGTATTCCTGCAATTTTATACAGGTTTGTTTGTAACTCATAGAATGTCGATCAGAATGTTAAATATGTTAAATCAAGCAGGGGAAGAAAAAATCTGTGTCCAAATCTTTAGTTTTTAAGTCGGATAAGTGGTTCAGGGATGAACGGAAAAACAGTGTAATTAAATGGATGATCGGGACATTAAAAAGTTGTGATGGGAAAAGTAGTATCAGCTGTCTTGTTGAGGAGAATGTTACCCAGACCTTGTGATTTTTCCCTTCTAATGCAATTTCTATTTTCACATGATTGAAGATTTGCAATCTTTGTGAATTAGATAAGCAGTAAAAGATGTCTTTTTATCCTATGACCCGGAATGGATGTATCGTCACCAGAGATGAAGCGAAAAGAGTTGGGAATGTTTTGTTAAAAAAAATGTTTATTATGTGCCTCATGGTGAGATGTGCCGGGTTGCAACGCCTTTGATTTTTACAATATTATTTTTGTTTTATTTCTTGATTTACGATGAAATTTTGTATGCTGGTTAAACATATATTTATATATTGTCAAAATAAAAATCATTAAAATTAAAAGCATAATGAAAATTTTATTACACCAGTCCACAAAGTTTTTGATCCTGCACCCCTAGTACTTCAAAGGAGAATTTGATTTTTCCTTAAAAGATCATCACTGTTAACAAAGCTGCATGTTAATCTGTTTTCTAATTTGTGACATATATGTATTCACCCTCTAAATGATTAATGGATTTTTGGAAAATTAAACCTTTTTTTTTTGTGTTCCAGTACTGTAAATTCTGTTACCTGTGTTCGGGAGTATGTGATACAATTTGCCAGCCAGGTAGTACATGATATTCATGCACAAAAGATATAAAGCTTCCAATAACTTGTAATGAATGTTTGTTTAACATATTTTCAATAAATACAAGATTAGTCTCTAAACATCCAAGTGCTTGATTTTTTAAGCCCCATGTCAGGCATACACTTACAATACACGTTTATGTTTAGGTGGTGTTATAGACAAAGTTTCTGCTGCTATTGTCAAGTAAGTGTCATTATATATACAGTGAAACTTGTCTAATCCGGATGTTGTGTAATCCAAAATCTTGCTTAATACAATGTTAACTTTATGTCCATTTCAGTAAATTTATTTGTTTAAAATGTTGTCTAATCCGTGTTGTGTAATCCAGTCATTTTCTTTGGAACCAGTAGTGTCCGGATTAGACAAGTTTTACTGTATATATATATATATGTCATGAAATTCTTTTCATTTGATGTACAAAACTAAGTACGAGGGATGTCCGGTAAAATCGTGGACAAAGCGTTTTTATCAAAAAATAATGAACGCACTAAGCTGAAATTTTCAGCTAAATGTTTATTTATCATATTTAAGTGCATCTTAATTGTTTTGATAAAATATAGACAAAAATAAAGATTTTATGCTTGAATGTGCACAGGGTTCAGTCCTATGGCACACGATCAAAAAACCAGGGTTTCATTAGAGAATACGTGAGTATTATTTCGAAATAAAAGTATTAAATATATATATTAAATATAGATAAGATTTGGGTAAAAATTATCCTGTTTTTAATCCACTGTCTTTTATGTTGTCTTTTGGAAAATTTCAAGGCATTTGCTTAATTTTTGGCAGTTTCCTGAACATTTGAAATGTGAAAATGGTATAAGCACAATGCGTGAAAAATGTCGACGTTTGATGATGTTACAGCGCACCGGAGAGCAGTTCAGTTTGATTCAAATGTAGTAATGACACCCTAAGAGACTTGAAATGACTACAGAAGAAAAAATATATATAAATATCAATAGATCTTTAGTATCCAAGTGAAATGGGAGTTTTCTAAGCGAAATCTTTCTGATTGAGTCCCCGGTAGAATAAAACATATGGACAAACAGCTACTGGGAATAGCAAAAGACACTGTCACTGTAAAACCGTCGATATAAGATAGCATATTTACTTGAATGAGAGTGAGAGTACTGTCCATAACTAACTAATAAATCTTATTATAAGAAGGTCCCATGTGTGTGCGAGATTGGTTCCTTGACTGTTTATGGAGGAATAAAGGGAAACTTAAGTATGTGCATCAATGAAATTCCCAAATTTAAGTGGGGCTTATCCAACTTTTTTTTAGCAAAGAGGAAACGTAACACTGCTATAGACACTTTGACCTTATCATCCATGCGCCGTAAGGCGATACCACACATAACATAAAATCTCATAATTTGTTTATTATGTATATATCTATTTGAAATTTGATATGTATATTGATGAAAAATATACTAAAGAGTAGTAAAATTTTTAGAACACAGTGATGATTATTTTTCATTCTAGACAACTTGTCCACGATTTTACCAGACAACCCTCGTAATAAATGGCTTCCAGAGAATTATGTCCAAGAACATACTCTAACTATTCATGATAATATGACACACAGTTGAACTTTGGTATCTCGAACACTGAATCTCAAATACCATGGTTTGGAAGTCTCAACCACTTTTTCTTTAAGTATTTCACCCTCGATATCTCGAATCCTTGGATATTTCGAAGTTTTTTCTCAGTCCCATTGAGTTCGAGATAACGAGGTTTGACTGTATATACTCAATTTTACCCAGTTCAAAATTTTGGTACTTTATTTTAGTGCTTTTTGGAGGACTTAAGTAACTGTAAACTTAATACGTAAAGTAATACTTTTCCAGTGCTCTCCCGTCCCATGACCCAGAGGAGATTAATAAGGACATTAAATCTGTAGATGATTGGATGAAGAAAAACAAAGATGAACTTTGATGACATGAAGATAGATAGGATACTCAACCATTCCACCCCAACTGTGTTACTTCATCCCCATTCTGAATGTTGATCAAGTTCATGTGTGATTGTAAGGTTAATTTCCTATTATTGTCATGTTTTAGCAAATTTTATACAAGATTATTTATGTATGCATGCTTACATATTTACACTAGAAAGCCTATGAACAAGTGTCAGCAGTAATGTACTGTATATTAAGTATTCAAATTTGTATAAAAACAAACATTTATATATATTGTTTATATCTTACCCTAACATCCAGAAACTTTTTCATTACATGTACATTGTGTAGGAAAAAATCCTTATAGTGTTTTGTGTAGAGAGGAAATATACTTACTTGAGTTCATTTATAAAACATATCATTTTTTAGTCATGAAAACCATAGAACAAATGTGATACAAAACTGACATAATGCTGAAAGTCACAGAGCATTTTTATATAATGACCAATGGGATTTTTAATATTAGATGTGAAATATTGTCAAGTATAGACATGATTCATCCATACATTAGTTCAGAATGCAAATTATGGCAGTCTACTGAAACTTAAGATAGGAGTGTGTATGATTGGTTTAGAATAATAATTGTTTTTTACAATGCTGTTGTGAAATGATAAAAAATATGAGTTTACAATCAATTCTGTATTGTCTGGTATATTAGTACATGTTTAATTTATTGTAAAATTTCTATATTTTCTATTCATTATGTGTTTAGATGTCCCTTTTTTTTATACCAGAGAACAAATAAAAACTGTCTTTGAAGTTGCTATAGTTGTTGTTGACCATTAAATCTTGTATGCCACAAATTAAAGTCGGGGGGGGGGGGGGTAGATTATTGATGGTTGTACATATATGTGTAATTTAAAATTAGGTTGTATATATAAGTAAATAGATGAAATGACAATTAAAACACAGCTTGGCTGCTGGGTTTGTAGAATTTTATGTATTTTCTGTGGAATATAACGCAACATACCTGTATAATGAAAGAAAAGGTGATTTGAAAAATAAAACCAGATAATTAATATAATTAATAAACATCTTCTCACCTCGCTCACACTATTATGTGGACCATTTATATTTATAAATTTGGATAATTTAGAAATTACTTGATATAAATAAAATGATCAGAAAGATATTCAGAATAGTAATTGAATACTAAGAGATAATTTGACAATTATTTCTTACCCTATAATCCCTGACTATGTGACCATAATTATTGTAAGATAAATTTGTTTTGGGGAGGAAACGTCTTCTCTCCCCAAAGTCAAAGGTTGGAGTGCGGGAGAATGCTGCAAATCTGCAAGGAACAGAAAAGAAACCGACCACTCATACCCTTACTCGCACCAGGGACCTATATACTAACAGTATATAGGTCCCTGCTCGCACTGACCACTCACCTGTATGAATGAATATGGCAGTGAACGAACATAGTAAATTCTGTAGTGACAACAGAATTCACTAGTTACTGTAATAATACAAGCATTCTGAGAGTATTGCATTAGCAATACTAGTACCTTACCAGCAAGTGTAATCTGGTTCCCGTTCAAAACTGAAAGGTCATAATTCCGTAAAAAATCAAAGAAGCGGAACGAATTGCAAAACTTGATCTGTAACCATCAAGATACACTCACATACCAAAAAACAGCTCATATCTGCAAGCGTTTAGAAAAAAAAAGTGTGGAAACCAAGTGGGACAGATAGAGGGACAGCTACACAGACAGACAGACGCAGAGGAAACCTACAGTCCCCTCCGGTTTCACTGGTCTGAGGAAAATATATGAAAATGATAAAAAAAAAAATATATTTCACCCTGTTACACACACACACACATATATATATAATTTAAGCATCATTTGATTGGATAAAAAAAATAGAATATATTGTATAACCTGGGTTGCCTACGTCACAATGACTTACGTCAAAAACGTATCAATCCGCTTGACGTTACATTTAAAATACACTTGTACCTACAATTTGAAGGAGAAATTGTCTTATTTTTTTTTTTTACACTTAACGAGGTTCGCTCCTGAGCTTTTGAGCAAATTTTTATCTTAACCTGTATTTCAAAAATTCTGCATAATGTTTTAATTCTTACAATAAATTTGGATTCTACAATGCCAATTTAACTATATTCAGTTAAAACTCCATGATTAAATTCCATACTAAAAGCATTAAGTGGGGAACTATATTTTGTGGCGGAAGGTTTTTTAGAAGAAAATGATCATTTTTTCTCTTTCGAAGTATATAAAGTATGCTAAGTTTGGATTCCTATTTTTACATGCAGTCTGCACACATAGTTATTTTGTGCAGTGGACTGTTTTATATTGGTCCTAAATTATCTATTAAATAAACTGTCATGAATTCTATCAGCATATATGATAAATATAGCAAATATATTGTGAACATGAAGAAAAAAATAGCCCTAATTTAAGCTTAAAATTAGCACTGTTTTAGTAATATCTGAAAATTAACATCACAGACCCCCACTTTTGATTTTCTTTTCTGAATATATACGATACCTTTTACCATTCTTCTTAAATTCAATAAAATGTCATTACTTTCAAATGATTTTTTTGCTTGTTAAATTTTTAATGCCAGAAAAATGAAAATGTTTGAGTGCAAAAAGGTCAAATAATTGAACATGCGGAGTAATTTGAAAATTTCTTCGTTGTCACAAATTTTAATGTGTCTATTTAAGATGAAATAAGACTGTTTTTGTCCCCATTATTTATTTGAACAAAATTATTGCAGTAGAAACTTTAAAAATTGATTTATGTGTAAGACGTATTTACAGTGCAAAAAGGTCAAACTAAATGCTCTGTAGTGCCAAAAGAAGCGCATTGACCCCCATTTTTTGTTTTGATTTTTAATAAAGCTATGTGTATAAGTTCTAAAAATATACTTGATAAAAAATTCTCATTACTTTTGATGGCAGGATCCAACCTCCTTAATGATGGAAAATTAAATTATAAGGAATGAATTTAACCGTTTTTTTTTTTTTAAGGAGAAATTGTCTTTTTTTTTTTTACACTTAATGATAGAAAATTAAATTATATTCAGGAATGAATTTAACCACTTTGTGGTTTATAAAGCGTAAACTACCCCAACCCAGGTTATACCAGTATAACTTGGGTAGCTATTAAATTCATTTAATTTAAGCTAATGTGCCCTCCCATGTCCTTTGAGCTCATAGGCCATAAATTGCATCTATACATGAGAGGACTTGCTTGCTTTTTAGCTCACCTGAGCCGAAGGCTCAAGTGAGCTTTTCTGATCTAAATTTGTCCGTTGTCTGTCGTCGTTGTCGTTGGCGTTGTGGTAAACTTTTCACATTTTCATCTTCTTCTCCAGAACTACTGGGCCAATTTCAATCAAACTTGGCACAAAGTATCCTTGGGTAAAGGGGATTCAAGTTTGTTTGAATGAAGGGCTACGCCCCCCCTCCAAGGGGAGATAATTACGAAATATCAAAAAATTAATGGCATTATTGAAAAATCTTCTTCTCAAGAACCAATGGGCCAGGAAAGATGAAACTCATGTGGAATTATTGTCAGGTAGTGTAGACTCAAATTTGTTCAAATCATGACCCCCGGGGGTAGGGTGGGGCCACAATGGAAGATTAAAGTTTTATTTAACATAGGGGTATATAGGAAAAATCTTCAAAAATCTTCTTCTCAAGAACAGCAAACTATGATTGGTAATATTTATATGGAACCATTCCAGGTGGTGTAGATTCAAATTTGTTCAAATCATGACCCCCGGGGGTTGGGTGGGGCCACAATGGACGATCAAAGTTTAACATAGTATATATATATAAGAAATATCTTCAAAAATCTTCTTCTCGAGAACAGCAAACTTATGATTGGTCATATTTATTTGGAAGCATCCTCAGGTAGTGTAGATTCAAGTTTGTTCAAATCATGACCCCTGGGGGTAGGGTGGGGCCACAATGGACAATCAAAGTTTTATGTAGCAATATATAGGAAAAATCTTCTTCTCAAGAACAGCAAAGCTGTGATTGGTCATATTTATATGGAAGCGTCCTTGGGTGGTGTAGATTCAAGTTTGTTCAAATCATGACCTCCAGGGGTAGGGTGGGGCCACAATGAAAGTTCAAACTTGTAGAGAAAAAAAGTCACAGTCAAATAATCATGTAAGCATCCTTAGTTAGTGTAGATTTAATTTTGTTCAAATCATACCCCCCACTCCCTTTTAGGGGTAGGTTGGGACCACTTATGCATTTAAGCTTTTCAATACTAAACAGATTTTTCCTCTTTTCCTAGCCACAGTGCTCAGGTGAGCGATGTGGCCCCTGGGCCTCTTGTTTTGTGAATTTAAAATCTTTTTTTATTTTAAATAAAGGCATGCAGAGCTTCGTGGGAAACCTGCACACAATACATGTAGTTCTTTTGTATATATTTCTAATGTTATGGTTTTTTAAGAAAATAAATTGTTTAGTTTGTTATATTGTCTATAGAAACAGTCTCATAGACATTGAGGGTAAGCTGAGCCATCTGCAAAACTGATCCACTCAATATTCATCTGTAGACAGTAACTATTTAAGGATTTATTTTCTTAAGGACAATTATGTGGGAGACATGTACAAAAGGACTGATTGATTTTTAATATTGAGATGTAAGGCATCAGCCATGTTGTCAGATATACATGTACATTCTTGTAATCTCCCCAGCCAGACATGGAAATATATAGCAGGCAGTTCCTTATCAGTTGTATAAAACAATAAAATTACTGACAGAAAAACATAGGTAATCAAAGATTACGAAGCTCACCTCGACTAATGTTATCTATAAGTAAGGCAAATTTCACATAATATTTTTTTCTAGTTAGGGAACATCCCAAGATCAATATCCTTGAAAGCTTGGTTTAAGTAGGACTTGTAGTTACTTGGAAATAGACCTGCTCAAAAAAACTTTTAACCTATTTAGTAATCAAGAAAATTTTGGTCAGTTCCAACATCCAAAGCAAGTCTGGAAGTTTTCATCCTTAGATGCACCATCCATGCAAGTTTAATCATAACAGGCCATAATATATAACTACACCAAAAAAATTACCCTGGTCACTCATCTGGATAATGTAGATCAGATTCAGAATCCAAAGCAAGTCTGGTAGTGTCCATCCCTAGATACATCATCCATGCTAATTTGGTTAAAATATGGCTAAAATTCACTCATGTAGAAAATCTAGATCAGATCCAGCATCCGAAGCAGGTTGGTTAGTGTCCATCCCTAGATGCATCATCCATGCAAGTTTGGTCCAAGTAGGGCTTATAGTTACTTGGGAATGGACCTGCTCCAAAAACATTAACCTGGTCACACATCTGGAAAATTTAGGTCAGATCCAGCATCGAAGCAAGTGTGGTAGTGCCCATCCCTAGATGCATCATCCATGCAAGTTTGGTCAAGGTAGGGTTTATAGTTACTTGGGAATGGACCTACTCCAAAAACTTTAACCTGGTCACTCATCTGGAAAATCTAGGTCAGACCCTGCATCCGAAGCATATGTGGTAGTGTCCATCCCTAGATGCATCATCCATGCAAGTTTGGTCAATGGGAGGGCTAATAGTTACTTGGGAATGGACCTGCTCCAAAAACTTTAACCTGGTCACTCATCTGGAAAATTTAGGTCAGATCCAGCATTGAAGCAAGTGTGGTAGTGTCCATCCCTAGATGCATCATCCATGCAAGTTTGGTCAAGGTAGGGCTTATAGTTACTTGGGAATGGACCTGCTCCAAAAACTTTAACCTGGTCACTCATCTGGAAAATCTCGGTCAGATCCAGCATCCGAAGCAAGTGTGGTAGTGTCCATCCCTAGATGCATCATCCATGCAAGTTTGGTCCAGGTAGGGCTTATAGTTACTTGGGAATGGACCTGCTCATAAACTTTAACCTGGTCACTCATCTGGAAAATTTAGGTCAGATCCAACATCCGCAGCAAGTGTGGTAGTGTCCATCCCTAGATGCATCATCCATGCAAGTTTGGTCCAGGTAGAGCTAATAGTTACTTGGGAATGGGACTTGCTCCTAAAACTTTAACCGGGATGCCTACAGTATATCATAAGCTCATCTCGACTTCGTCGAGGTGAGCTAAAAAGCAATGTGTACCTCTGTCATGGTTAAAATATTCCCAAAAAGCAAGTCCCAAGGACTTGTCTGCAGACAAAACAATAGACACTATTTAACACTGTGATATTTATTGTTTTAACAGTTACAACAAAGAAATGATTAATAAGAGAAAACAAAACTAAAAGGTCTCAAAAAGCTGCTGTAAAACCGAAGTCATGTGTGATAAAAGCAATATTATTATTTACATGAAGCAATTTAATGGACACAATGTACCTACTGAATTTATACCCAAATTACCTTTGTACCAAATATCTAATGTCTAGTTGGTTATAAATGTAGGTATGTATGAAGTATGATACATGACCAGTTACACAGATTTGGGACTGTACTTTTTTATAGTTATGTTTAATGAAATATTGGCACTTAAGAAAATGCCGCCCAATGTAATTGTCATATACTGGAATTTTGAATAACAAGGAAAAATAATGAAGGAATCTTACAATTTTCTAGAATTATTAGACCACTAATGTGTCGAGAGATGGAAATTGTTCATATGTTACAGAAATTAGTATGGCACTACACAAGCGACTGCTGTCAATGTGTTACAGATCTAATACACTCTAAAATGTAATGCAGAGATGTCCATTGTATTTTTCATGTTTGTTGACCTTATGGTTGGAATGAATTCATCACTTGAAACTTCACTTCATTGAATCTGAGAGTCGGGGGGGGGGGGGGGGGGGGGGGGGGATATACTGTAATCTAGGGAGAATAAAACACATTTGCGATGCTGATGGAAAATGATGAAATGCATTTAGGACTTCTGAGTTCAGTCTGACTGGAATTGTACATTCCTTGTTTGAGTGATGGTTCTAGTCTCTTAAAAGGCTTATGTATTAAAACCAAACAAAAGTCTATTTTAGTATATGAAGACTTCAAACATTTCAAGTAAATTCTATTTATACAAAAAAAACATGAGGCCCATGGGCCACATCACTCACCTGAGCACCTTGGCTAGGCAAAAGCACAAATCAGTTCAGTATTGAAAAGATTACCAGGGGAGGGGGGGGGGGGCTTTAATTTTAAACTACCTGATGATGCTTCCATGTCAATATAACAAATGGCTTTGTTGTACTTGAGAAGATTTTAAAAAAATTTTCCCATATATTCCTTTGTAAAAATTTGATCCCCCATTGTGGCTCCTCCCTATCCCAGGGGTCATCATTTGAACAAACTTGAATCTACACTACATGAGGATGCTTCCATATCAATATGACTACACATAGCTTTTCTGTTCTTGAGAAGAAATATTTTTTCTATGTGTTCTTATGTAAAACTTTTGATCCCCCATTGGGCCCCACCCTACCCCCGGGGGTCATCAATTGAACAAAATTGAATTTACACTACCTGAGGATGCTTCCATATCAAAATGACTTTTATGATTTTCAGTTCTTGAGAAGAAGATATTTTTCTATATGTTTTCCTATGTAAAATTTTCGATCCCCCATCCCCCATTGTGGAATGACCCTATCCCCAGGGTCATCATTTTAACAAACTTGAATCTACACTACCTGAGGATGCTTCCATATCAAAATGACTAATCATGGCTTTGCAGTTCTTCAGAAGAAGATATTTTCCTATATATTTCTATTTAAGACTTTGATCCTTCATTGTGGCCCCACCCTACCCCCAGGGGTCATGAACAAAATAGAATCTACACTAACTGAGGATGCTTCCACATAAATATGATCAATCAGGGCTTTGCTGTTCCTGAGAAGAAGATTTTTAAAATTTTTCATATATATTTCTATGTAAAACTTTGATCCTCCATTGTGGCCCCGCCCTACCCCCGGGGGGTCATGATTTGAACAAAGTTAAATCTACACAACCTGAGGATGCTTCCATATAAATATGATCAATCAGGGCTTTGCTGTTCCTGAGAAGAAGATTTTTAAAATTTTTCCTTTATATTTCTATGTAAAACTTTGATCCTCCATTGTGGCCCTGCCCTACCCCCGGGGGTCATGATTTAAACAAACTTAAATCTACACAACCTGAGGATGCTTTCATATAAATATGACTCATCATGGCTTTGCTGTTCTTGAGAAGAAGATTTTTAAAGATTTTTCCAATATATTTCTATGTAAAACTTTGATCCTCCATTGTGGCCCTGCCCTAGCCCCGGGGGTCATGATTTGAACAAATTTGAATCTACACTACCTGAGGATGCTTTCACATGAGTTTCATCTTTCCTTGCCCTGTGGTTCTTGAGAAGAAGATTTTTAAAAGATGCTATTAACTTTTCACTTATTCTTTATTATCTCCCCTTGAAAGAGGGCGTGGCCCTTCATTTGAACAAACTTGAATCCCCTTCACCCAAGGATACTTTGTGGCAAGTTTGGTTGAAATTGGCCTGTGGTTCTTGAGAAGAAGTCGAAAATGTTAAAAGTTTACAGACAGACAGATGGACAGACAGACAGACGGACGCCGGACAAAAAGTGATCAGAAAGGCTCACTTGAGCATTCGGCTCAGGTGAGCTAAAAATTACCTCACGTGTCACATTTACATTGGATCTATCTACAAGAAAGATTAAATACTCACATAGACAGCTATCTTATACATGTATACTAGCTTTTTCCTCTGTTGGTCAAAAACATGTAAGCTATAGTTTCTGGGCAAAAATTAGCCCAAACACACAAATTAATATTTTGCATGAAGCACAGTTATTCAACAAGAATGTCCCTAAATACATGTAATTACTAAACTGAATACCGAGTTTATAAGAGAATTGAACACATACATTTGTCATCACTGAACAGACACTGTTCCTAACTCACTCAAACACATTTATCTTCTATTACCAAATGATATTGCACATACATAGTTTATTTCAGACTACTAATAAAACAAATGAAAGCCATGATTGAATCTACAAACCTTACAGTAAAACTCAGTTTTAGATAGTCCTGGGTACCTGTGGATTTTCTATGTTATAACAAAGTGATCAAGTTGGAAGTCCCAACAGCTCTTTTTTTTTATAAATGTATTTTAATGTCAATATCTAAAATCCTTGGATATCTCAAAGATTTTTCTCTGTTCCATTGAGTTTGAGATAACAAGGTATGACTGCACATAGGAATTTTGAAATCTCTTTTTCCCTCTGATGATCATCATATAAGTTCATTAAAATATTGATGTAAAACATATCATGGAGAACGAAAGTGTCCATATTGTAACTTAGAATTGTATAATTTCTTTTGAGAGTACACATGTAAATGTTATATGTCTAATTCTTTGGACTTTAAAGTCATTATAAAAGATGTATATTTTGTCATTCTTACCCTTAGTGGAGCTCAAAATTAATTCATTATACCTCTAAATTTGTTACATCAGAATTTGTTATAACTGTAAAATTTTATACGAAATTGTTAAGAATTTTACAGCCCCCCCCCCCCCCCCCCCAATTGCTATATCCATGTTCATATAAAGTTTTAGTTTATATCATCATATCCTGGTTGTAAACTATGACAAAGTACATTGTACTGATGTAATGAAAAAAATATGTAATGAATTAAATTCTCTCAGCCTCACAATTTTCTCACCAATGTTTTGTGCCTTTCTTAATGTCTAAAACCAATACAATAATGATTAAATGGCTTCTACAAAATAAAAATTATCATTCAAAAATTATAATAAAAAAAAACCTAAATGAAAACCATTCATTATTTCTTTCTTGCCACACTTAAAATACTGTAAGGAAAACAGACACTAAAAATATTGTCCCTCTATTACACCAAACACTGCCAATATAAAATACATGTATAAATAAATCCTCCTACAGAGGCTCACAAACAATAGTCTCAAGATTCTCAGGTTCTGTCCCATCGGAAAAATTGCTGCCCTTTGTGCTGTTTATTAACACATTTCTCAGGGTAGAGTTGCTTACAATGTAAAAACAAAAATTGTGCTTTATGGTAATGAACAACAGTTGATCTGTATCACTAAACTGCCTCTACCCTTTGTACGATTTTTCGAAATAGAATTACCTGGCAAATTCATTAAATTCAGATACAGCGAAATTAGAACAATTTCACAAATGATACATGCGAATTGCAAATATTTAAGGTTTGTTACTGATGTTGTGCCCGCGTATTTAAGAAATACTTTTTAAATTTTCTACATTTTTCAATGTCATCATTCAAACATACTCTAATCCAGCTTTCAAAGATAACAAAGTTTACCTTGACCATAGTTATAATAATAAGTAAAGCAAAGTGTCGCATCAAAATATAGGTCAGATGCTGACCTGATTGGCAACGATCCTTAGATCCATGCAATTTTGGTCCAGACCAGGCTTATACATATATATGTACTTTGGAGATGGCCTGCTCCAAAAACTTTAAATTTGGGATACCAACTCAAATAGCAATGTTCAGCATTAGTTCATCTTCACTTCATAATAGTGAGCTGAAAAGGCATCACTCTTATGGCTTCAAAATGTCATTAGAAGAGAATTTCATTAGAAGAGAATTTCAAAAACAACAACAACAAAAAAAAAACCTCCACAAATTCAGATATTTTAGATATTTTACTGACTTGTGATTAGAAGTGCCTTTGATTAAACAGAAAGCATAATTTGTACTTAATTTGAATTTGGGAAGAAAAAATTAAATTCTTTGAGAAGTTGTTATCATGAGTCACTTCAGTCATAAAGAATTAATGGCTGCTTGCATCATTCAATGCTGACAATTTTTGCCTGAGAATCTAGACTTATTGTTCCTGGCTTCACTTCTCTTCAAATCAAATCTGGCACAATTCTCTCATTCTGACAGTTAATTTTTCATGCTAACATCATAAATAATAAATATTTAAATTCAAAATGGTTGCCATGTGTTGATATTGTTGCTACTACAAATCATAGATGTCATTGCTGTAGATGAAAGGGGAGGTAATTGGGTATAGCAGAGCCATCCAAATAACAAGTCCTATTACAAAACTGGCGATGAGTTTGTGACGGGTCTCTGTGTTCGGGTGTGCCATGACCTCGCGAAAGGCTGGGAAACCCATGTGATTACAGAATGCATGTACTACCACTGGTGCAATGAAATGTCCTGCAAGATGTTAAAGATCTTATGATATAAACATGAATGGGATCATCTGTTTTTGACTTCTTTGCCACATTTATTAAAAGATCATACACTACAAAATACTGTACCTGTTCTCAGGAATAGAAATGCTGAGTAAGCACCAAATAATGTTGTGTAACAGAGCTGGAACACTGAAATAATAAAGATATTGTGTAACAAAGCTGAACAATGAAATTATAAAGATTCTGTCAAATATTGTGTAACAGAGCTGGAACAATGAAATTATAAAGATTCTGTCAAATATTGTGTAACAGAGCTGGAACAATGAAATTATAAAGATTCTGTCAAATATTGTGTAACAGAGCTGGAACAATGAAATCATAAAGATTCTGTCAAATATTGTGTAACAGAGCTGGAACACTGAAATCATAAATATTCTGTCAAATATTGTGTAACAGAGCTGGAACAATGAAATTATAAAGATTCTGTCAAATATTGTGTAACAGAGCTGGAACAATGAAATTATAAAGATTCTGTCAAATATTGTGTAACAGAGCTGGAACACTGAAATTATAAATATTCTGTCAAATATTGTGTAACAGAGCTGGAACACTGAAATAATAAAGACTCTATCAAATATTGTGTAATGCCACAGGAGCCCTGATATAATAGACATTTGTACATGTATGTACAGCAAAGAAGTGAACAGGAACATTTAATGACTCAAGAGAAAACCACAGATTTTCGATCTGATAGATATAATTCAATATTAATACTTGGCTTAAAATGCATATATGTGAAGTTTTCAACATTTAAAAAAGTAAAAAAGATGTAAATTTGACTTACATGATTGTTTGAATGCCTCTGATAAAGCTTGTCTACCTTGTATAACTTTCTCAATCATGTGATGAAAATGTGCTGTAAAAAATAACAAATATGAAGCACTCAACATACTAATACACAAATTTTGAAGCAACTTCTCATCCTAACCAGAAGCTTTGATGACATGGTCTGGGTCAATGCCTACGACACTCGAGAAAATTAGATTTTAGTCCAAAATTGAAAATGTAATTATAAGATTTTTTTGTAAAACAGGGCCCTAAAGCCCATAATGTAAACACAATATAGCTATCCAGGTAAGTACTGTATAGAGGGTTATTTTCATCCTGTCTTATTTTCGCCCTTTCACACTTGCAAACAATTTTGCCCCATTTTAAATTCGCCAAGTCTCAGTTCTGTTTAAGAAATTATACTTCTTTGAATTTGCCCTGTTTTAAATTCGCCCACCTGTGAGAATGGCAGAAGGGGCGAAAATAAAATGGAGGCGAAAACTTCCCTGTATACAGCAGTTTATTAATGTTGATATGTAGGGCTGGAACGATACAACTTTTTCTGTATCGATATGTATCACGATATTTGAGTCACGATATGATATGTATCACGATATGTTGAATTGGTTATAAAATCTTTTTTTGTATTGAATTGAACCGAACATTTCTACACAAATAAGAATAATTTATTCAAAAAAGTTGTATATCTGTTGTAAAACAAAATTATTTTACACAAGTGATGTTAATTATTATGTATTTCATATATACATTTACATTTAGCATATTTATTTGATATATTAAACCCAAAATTTTAAGTAAACAAAGAAAAACATAAGTCAGAATTTTTTGGCCATATTTCCATATGCGTCAATATATGTAAGATATGCATATCGTCCTCGCACAGAATTGACATTATGGATATTTCGATATATCGTCCCAGCCCTATAAATATGTGGTGCACATTTACAGAGTTTCCTTACCTACACCAAAGAAAAGTGGACATAAAAACACTGACATTCCACTTCCAAAGCATGGGACTAACAAAGGCAACATACAAGCTCTATAGATCATCTCCTCAGATATTGGAGCCTAGAAAACAATCCTTTAGGGTCAATATAAATATGGATATCCATGTGTTGTACAATAAACCAAATGCATGGAGTTAAATTTAAAGATAGTGAAGATACCATAACAACATTTTGATCCATGAATAAATTTTCATCTTTACAATTCTTGTACTTAATTTATGACACACCAGTTGTTTTCTTTTAGTTGATTAGTATTGTCACTAAAACTTACAACTATATGGTTTCTAATCCAGATTAGGTTTTTCAAACTGTTGGTCCAATATCTTGGTTCTGAAATAAAAACAAGTTCAGGAATTGTTAACACTTGTTTTCAAATTAACAGGAATCAAGTTTATACCAATCTGATATTTCTGTTTACATTAAAATTCAAACATTCTACAGTTTATAAGTAAATATGGTAAAGGAATAAAGACTTCTACCTAAATATATTCTAAATACACCATCTACATAGTGAAGAGTTAAGGGTCCCAAGAAAAGAACCTATTAAAATAAAAGAACACATTGGTTACAATGATTCTTAAAATAAGCTTATGATACTTTACAATTAAATGCTAATTATAATCTGTAAATTATTACACAGGCATGCATAGAAAGATAACCATCTTCATGAAGAAACCCAACATAATCACTTTGTATTTGTGTGTGTGTATGTGGTTCCCTATATATTAGGAATCTGCAGGTGGGTGGTACCCAATACATTAAGAAATTTGTTTGTGTGGAACCTTATATTAATGGGTTTGTGCTTATGGACTTTGTGTTTATATGTGTGTTATGCACGTATCTGGACATTGAATATGTAGAGACGATATTTAGACTCTGTGTGTGGTACCATATTGTGGGACAATCTGTGTTGTACCTTTATTAGACCTTCATGTATGGGGGAGGGGGGGGGGGATTTTTGTGTTTGTGTGTGATACCCTAAGGATTTTGTGTGGAACCCTATATAAGAACTGTGTTTTGATAAAATCTTGGATATAAGGATGTTAAATACTATATTAAAAACATTCAAAAACTAAGAATAGCAGTGTAAAGTCCATCTAAAGCTATTTTTTTGTTTACATGATTCAATCTCTGTTAATTTATCTTTAATAAATTATAAATTAAACCATAATTTAAAATTCCATTCTCATCAGAAACACCACAATCTTTATTTAAAATGATTGCTGTCCAGTTGTTCTACCACACAAACTGTTTTATATAATAGGCATAAGATTTGTTAAAAACTTGATTTTATGTTCTGTACAGCAATACTTCAAAGCAAAGGATACAGTATATATATGTTATTGCAAAAAAAAAATTACTGAAGTGATCTTAGGCTAAATAAATCCTCTTACCATAGTAAGAAATAATGGCAGGATGACAGCTAGGAAAATACGACTGAAACGGATTCCTAGCCACTCTAGGAAGGTATGGGCCTACAAAAAATATAGTGTATATGTCAGAGAGAGCTAGTAAACAGTGGATAAAACTTGTACTTACTTTTCATGGTTTTATACATCAGTAATAAAACAGTAAGCCAAGGACCAAGAATTACTCACCTTAAAAAAGAACAAACATAAAATCATTTCTGCTAATGCATGTAAAATTGTAAATACAGTCAAACTTCATTATCTCAAACTCGACAGGACCAAAATTAAACTTCAAGATTTCTGAAGATTTGAGACAATGAAATTTTAAAAAAAGATGAGGCCCATGCCAGGGTAACATCCCTCACCTGAGCACTTTGGTTAGAGAAAAAAGAAATCAGTTCAGAATTGAAAAGTTAAATATATGAGTGGCCCCACCCTACCCAAAGAGGGGCAGGGAAGGGGGTCATGATCTGAACAAACTTGAGTCTACACTAACTGAAGATGCTTCCATATTAATATGACCAATCATAGCTTACCGGTAATTTGCTGTTCTTGAGAAGTCTTTAAAAGAATTTATCCTATATATTCCTATGTTAAAGTTTGATCGCCTTTGTGGCCCCATACTAGCCCTGGGGGTCATGATTTGAACAAACTTGAATCTACACTATTTGAGGATGCTTCCAAATAAATATAATAATCATGACTTCGTTGTTCTTGAGAAGAGGAATTTTAAAGATTTTTCTATATTTTCCTATAGATTTAAAACTTTGATAGTACCCATTATGACCCTACCCTACCTCTGGGGGCCATGATTAGATGCTTCCATATAAATATAACTAATCATGGCTTTACTCTTCTTGAAACATGAAAGGAATATTTTAAAAATTTTTCTTTTGTATTCCCATGTAAAACTTTGATCACCCATTATGGTCCAAACCTTCATCAGGGAGTCATGATTTGAATAAACTTGAATCTACACTATGTAATGATGCTTTCACATAAGTTTCATCTTTTCTGGCCCAGTGGTTATTGAGTAGATTTTTAAAAGATGCCATTAAGTTTTCACTTATACTCAATTTTCTCCTCTTAAAAGAGGGTGTGGCCTTCATTTGATCAAACTTGAATCACCTCCAAGAATGTGCTGTGGCAAGTTTGGTTGAAATTGGTCCAGTGGTTCTTGAGAAGACCTTGAAAATGTAAAAAAAAAAATACAGACGACACATGACATGGGACATAATTCGATCGGAAAACTTCAAAAGCTCACTTGAGCCTTTGGCTCAGGTGGGCTTAAAAGAAAAAAGTGGTTGGGACTTCCAATTCACTTCAATATATCCATGGTATTAAAAATATCTGTATGCAAGCTAAAAATAAAGTTCAAATGTACATGTAAATTCCAAAATTCAATTGAGCTTGAAGTGTGCAAACACCCCTATAATTATAGAAAGCATAGCCTTCAAATTCCATACTAAGGTTATCAAGATAATAACCTATTTATGGAATATGATATATCTTTGCCCCAAGATCCATTCACTTAAATTTAGCCTTTAGCCTTATAACTTAGAATGATGCATGTTGTTAAAAAATCTACATTTGAATTTTGATAAAATAATATTTCAGCTCACTTTGAAGTGATATTCAGGCCATGGATTTTGCTGTAAGGTGATGCCTTGAATAAAGTAAAATGCACAATGATTTCAAATGCTTTAATAGAAGTTAGGTGAAAATTCACCTATGATTTTTGGAAAACAGGTTTTAGGAATGCATTCCTATTAGTATTACTAGTATAAATGAAAGCCATTTACCTAAGGATACACATTTCATGAATACTGGCAAAAGAATTCTGTAGTTGTTGCTCATAATCAAAAAAAGTTAATGCATGATTGCAGGCTGCACTAAATTGTGATAACTTAAGCTCAGATGAGCAGACAAGTAAAGCATAAAACTTACATTTTCCGAGTCTGAAGATGTTCCAAAGCATTGCAAAAGAATTGGAATTATCACACATATGATGGATACACTGGTGAAGCGACGCTTTATGGTGTCTGGATGATCCCTGTAAAGCATAATTAAATTTGTTGAAGGATACAATGAAACAAATAACTTTGTACCAAGATTATTCTCACATCATCAGGGCCTGGAAGGGGCCGTTCCATGCATCCTTCTGCCGAAAAGTGGTGCAATGCAATAATGGTGCGCTGTGCCAACGTGATGCACCTGTAAAATGCAAGCATGTATGATTTTCTAGCTTGTTAGTTCATCACAGTCAGGGCTATTGGTATTTTTTATTGAAGTTAGATGGAACCTGTGATATATCAGATAATAAAATCAGAACCACCATTCAACATATTTACATCCACTGGCAAAGAAACAAACTTTCCTCCCATGTGGTTTGTAAGTGTCAAGTTTTATTGGACAGCTAACCACAGTTTTAGGAAAGTCACGCATATGAAAAATATTACCTTACAATGAAATACCTTATCAATGAATTCTCTAATTACGTTTGCCTGTCCCTTGATCTCTAAATCAGCACTTTTTTGAAAAAAATTTGGTGCTTTGGTATAAATATAATTTTTCTAAATGCTTGCTGTGTTAGATGACAAAAGATTTAAGAAGTTCTAAGAAACAGAAAAATCAATTCCTATCACATTTTTATTTTCCTAAATTTTGTTGTCAACGATATATGCATTATCATAGCATTATACTATCAGTATGATACACATGTGTAGTGTAGAATGGCCCCAATGTTTCCTCTTGGCCCCTTAAATTTCAAAATGGCCCCATCATTTTATGAAAATTAGGGCTATTGGCCCCACCTGTTGTTTGACTTTCCCAGACACTGCATCATAAAATATTTTTTTAAAAAAAAGGCTGAGATAAGTTTAAACAGCCCTATCACAGATAAATGAAGTATCATTTGAATAAGGTTGCCTTCTTAATTGCCATTTGATTTCTTTGCACAACATAAGCATACAAATACACAAAATTCCAATCAGGGTCAAACTAATATGTGGCCAAAACATGTGCAGATTTCACAAAAAACATGAATTCAAAGTTTTGTGAAAAAGCACAGAAAACAACAGAATGATTTTTCATTTATTTATTGATAGGAAAATTCAACAAGAGGCCCAAGGGCCTTAACAGTCACCTGAGTATAATGCAGCAATTTAGAGTATCCATAGAGTATAAAATGAACTGAAAGGTGAAGCTTTGTTGCCCAAAAGCAAGAAAAATAGGGTGATCAGGATCAACAAAATAATTAGTCTAGTATTCATTAACAGTTCATAAATTAGGTTCTAATCTGTTCCCCATTTATCACTATCACCATACAGTATATTAACAAACTATCAGTGCTTCTGTACTATTTTAATTCCTAGTTGAGATCTCTTACATTGGCCTCTCTTGTTCTTTGATAAACATTTAGAAGACAAGTTATTTTTGTCTCATTTTTATTTATCTATTACTTACAAGTCTACCTGATCATTAAAACTACGAAAGTACTTTTTGTATTATACAATAAAAATTCTTGCATAATTTTCTTATTCTATTAACCTTTCAAGTACATTATTTACAGTGATTAATTATCAAAAGTAAATGGCAAAGGGGAATAACTCCTCTCAGTAGGATACAAATTAATATATGCACGGACCAGAACACTTGACTAAATGGTCCAGATGTTCAAAAATCTGGTAAAAATACTCTAGACTTCCTTATTAAAACTTTTACTCTTTTTGCCCCTGATATGCCCAGGTGCAGAAAAGATTTTTAAAGAAATAATGCATTTTTACTACAGATTCACTATATTATCAATAGAGCCCCCCCCCCCCCCCCCCCAGCGAGAAACACCAGAGCCTCTCACCCTGGGACCAGAAGTTTGCCCATCATAAGAAATCACTTTGTTTATCTGCTAACACTAAGAGCAGACAGGATTATTTAATAGAATTAATGCATTTTCACTATATTATCAAGAGCCCCACCCTTACACCAGCACATCTGACCCAGGGGTCATGCAATTCACTACTCTGGAAGAAGCACTCTTGCTCATCATAACTATACAGTTAGCTTCTTTGCTTTTTAACCAGGAGCAGAAAAGAATATTTTCAAAGAAATTTTGCTTTTTCACTATATAATCAATAGAGCCCCCCCCCCCCCCTTTTCACCAGAACTCATGACCCTGGGGCCATGAAATTCACAATTTTTGAAGAGGCATCCTTGCATATCATAACAATGTACTTAATTTGTTAAAATAATACCCAGGGGCAGAGAAGAAGATTATCAAGAAATAATTCACCTTCACTATAGGATCTATATAGCCCCACCCTAACATCAGAACCCCTGATCCTTGGGCCATGAATTTCACAATTTTGGAAGAGGCATCCTTGCTCATGATAACAATGTACTTAGTTTGTTTAAATAATACCCAGGAGCAGAGAAGAAGATTTTCAAAGAAATAATGCACTTTCACTATAAGATTTATATAGCCCCGCCCTAGCACCAGAACCCCTGACCCTGGGGCTATGAATTTCACAATTTTGGTAGAGTCACTCTTGCTTATCATAACAATGTACTTAATTTGTTTAAATAATACCCAAGAGTAGAGAAGAAGATTTTCAAAGAAATAATGCACTTTCACTATATGATCTATATAGCCTCGCCCTAGCACCAGAACCCCTGACCCTGGGGCCATGAAATTCATAATTTTGGAAGAGGCATCCTTGCTTATCATAATTATGTATTCAATTTGTTTAAATAATACCCAAGAGTAGAGAAGAAGATTTTCAAAGAAATAATGCACTTTCACTATGTGAAAGTGATTGTATAGCCCCACCCTAGCACCAGAACCCCTGACCCTGGGGCCATGAATTTCACAATTTTGGTAGAGTCACCCTTGCTTATCATAACTATGTATTTAATTTTTTTCAATAATACCCAGGAGCAGAGAAGAAGATTTTCAAAGAAATAATGCACTTTCACTATATGATCTATATAGCCTCGCCCTAGCACCAGAACCCCTGACCCTGGGGCCATGAATTTCATAATTTTGGTAGAGGGCTCAATGCTTATTACAATCATGGCAACAGTTTGACTGCTTGATGTCCAGGAGTAAAGAAGAAGATTTTTAAAGATAGCACTAATTTTGATGGTTTTAGCCCCACCCTTCAGGCCCCAGGGGGGCAGGGACCATGAAATTCATAATTTTTGTACCCCTTCACCCATTGATGCTATATGCCAAAATTGGTTGAAATTGGTTCAGTGGTTCAAGAGAAGAAGCTGAAAATGTTCAAAAGTTTACAACCGACGGACGACGCAGGACGAAAACAGATAGCAATAGGTCACCTGAGTGACTCAGGTGACCTAAAAATGGCCCCTACACTCAATTTGGCAGCATCACCACACGATTTGTCACGTACTTGATAATTTGTTTGTACATTTGTGTGCTGACGTCATGTGCAAAGAAATCCATGCAATGGCAAAAAAAAAAAATTACCAAATTCCAGTGACGTCGTATTTAGCTGCACTTCCTGTGTAGTTCATTGCGATGTCATATATTTTTCTATGCCGTTAACGCAATGTATCATTGTGACGTCAATATTTATTTCCATGGTTAACGGCAATGTCTCAAAAATCCATGACATAGCACAAATTCATTGTTCTGACCAATCAAGGGACAGCATCGATTGTAAACCACCTGGGCGACCTGGCTCTCCTGCCTTGGCAAGGATGAGCCAGGAAACCAGGCTAGACTCTCTCCCGCACGTCATAATAAAAAAAAAAAGTGGGGGTTAGAGTCAGAAGAATCTTGGAATTAATGTCAATAGTGCTGGCAACTGTAAAAAAAAATTGCTGGGGAAATGTAAATACCAGTAAGAATAATTGCTTTAAAATCTAAGCAAAGTATTTTAATTCCCACCCACATGCTTAATATTTGTGATGTCAGCTAGTGTTTTATGTGTGTGTCTGGGATTTACTGATGTTTTGGATGTAACGCTTCCTTTACCTGTTTATCATTCACTGATTCAGTAAAATGAAACCAACAATTGTCAAGATTTTGGGACAGAAGTGAATCACACCTGATTAAAGAAAACCTATATTACCTGTTTTTGTTCTTATCATCAACCCAGACATAAAGACTTCCGACATAAATAACTGCAAAAAGCAAACAAATTAAAACTGACTGCCACTTCTCCAGTTCGAATATCATGGTGGGCGCCATTGTTTTTTTTAGCCCCGGTTTCGGCACGTCGATTTACCCAAATGGACCCAAATGGAAATCAAATGGACACAAATGGAAACCGAATGGAATATTAAATATATATTATCGTATTATCAAGTTGTTACTTATTTAAAATGATGAAAATTATGAACTTACAAATGGAGAATATTAATAAATTATTCATTTCTAATTTTGTATTTTAAATACGAATTAATTTTCTTTAGTATTATATAGGCCTAATTATGGGGAGGGGGCTACGGCCATGAAAACTATATAAATTTAAAAATGAAATACTTCAATTTTGTATTCAATGATATGCAAAAGTTATTACAAATACATGTATCTTAATTATAAAATACAAGACTACCACACTTGACATAAATTTTGCCAAAAGTTTAATTTTATCAAATATTTGACCCACGAAAGGAAAACTATATATTAAAAAAAATTCATACTCAATGCAATGATTATGTAGATACATGTGTATACATTATATATACAGGACTGTCTATTTTTGTTTTTAAAAAATATAAAAGCTAATAATCTTATGTCTTATTCAAATATTTCTCAATTTAAGAAATATTCTACCTGCCACATATTATCATATATTTTATTATTATTATTTTTTTTTTTAAATGAATCTGACTTCTTTTTATGCCATACAGAACAGATATTAGCATAATTGGGAAGATATTTTTTTCTCAAAAAGATGGATTTAGTATTTCAGTGAATGCGGGAATAATTGCATGGTGTTATCAATTTAAAAAAATTAATTCTATAATAATCCAGAACATCAAAGTGGTTTTAAAGTCAGATTCCTTAAGACATTTTTAATCATAGAAAATTTATTTAATACAATTATCACTTCAGTAACTAAAGCTATATTTAAGCAGTGTCAGCTTGGATGAAAATAATTAAATTCCTAATCATCTGATACAGTTCAAAGTGAAGAGATATACAGTCCAAACTATAGTAAGTTTGTTGTGTCAGGGTATACCGATGCTAGATGATTCATAAATCGTTTTTTTTTTTTTTTTTAAATCTATTGCATTTCGTTAAGGTAAACATATAATTAAAAAGCAAACGTAATTCCAAAAGAAGTGGCTAAGATGAAATATAAAATATGATATTTTAATTAGGTTGAAAATTATAGAATATTACATTAAAAAATGTTCTAGATAACAAATTTCTTCCGAAAGAAAGCTTTTGAATTTAGAAAGAAACGATTGTATAATTAACTATAATTTTAAAAAAAAGGAAAAACTTAAAATAAATAAATAAAAAGTTAATTCACATTGGAAAGAAAAAGAAGAAAAAAAATTAAATAAAAAAAGGAGGGTTGGGGCTCTGAGGTAGAACCACGCCCACGTCGTAGAGCCTGGGAACACAAACAAGTTGAGGCAAAGAGTTCAACAAGAAAAAAAAAAAAAAAAAAACAGGAAAATTTGGTTTTTTGTGCATGCAAATTAACTGGCATGTAAATGAGGTTTTCCTCTTATTTCTTTAAAAATCTATACTTCAATTTTTTGTATTTAATCGCGATTCTACGAAAACATCGATGTCCGTCTTTGGTTTTCGCATTTATAACAGAGTACTAGATTTACCGCTTTTCGGCAGGTGATATTCCCGATCCAGTACTAAATAAGTAAATTTATAAAGGTTTTTATGTATTAATGAATTCATTTAAACTTACAAAATGTGCATGAAAAGTTTGAAGAATTTATGTGCATCGATAAAAAAGAAATCGCAAAAAAACCAAAATCCGGGACCGTCGGGAGTCGGGAAGACTAGATTTACCGCTTGCCTCATTTATGTGACCGAAACTGAAAGTAGTAGCCCAAAATGATGGAGGAAAACCCTTCAGGTGAGTCATTCTGTGTTCTGTTTTAGACGGTGTGCTGTCTTAGGTATTATTGATTCACCGAAGCTAGATATTTTATTTTGATTTTTAGCATCACTAGAACTGAAGGGTTGTGCATATTAGCAAATCAGTTAAATTTATACCTTATTTTCACAGTAGGGCTTGGTCCCTGAGAGTGTCACAAAATATTTATTTTTAAAAATTAAGTTTTAAGTGTATGTTTTTTCTTTTTTGCACTCCAGGAGGTTTTTTACTCGTATTCTGTAAACTTAAACACTGTTAAAATAATATCACTAATGACTAAAACAAAGATAAATCTTTTGGGGGACATTTATTTGTTTCTGGCCATAAATCCATGTTTTGTGTTATTGTCAATTAAAGCACATACAAAAATGACAAAATGCATTTCAATTTATAAAGAGTGATTTACTGCAGCAGTGATACATGTTCCAAATGACAAAATGAATACAAATAACCAAAAAAAAAAAAAAAAAAAAAAAGAAGACAACGAATAAAGAGTTTGAATATTAGCAATGTATTTTTAAATTAAGTTATGTCTTTGTTATTGTAATTTCTGTCAGAAATAAAAAAAAAATGGTGTAAGCATCAATTAATAGTATTTATTGATGATAAAATTCATTATGTAAGGTGGCATGATGATGATGATGATTCTAATTCTTACAATCGTTATTTGCATTAGACTTGATGATGGAAGTTTATTAGAACCTATATACTTAACATGCTTAATTTACATAAATCAAATTTTCACTATCTCAAAGTTAAAGTGAAAATATAATTTGGAAATAAGTAAAAAGTCAGGCATTGAAGTGTTACGCAAACAAATCAAAATTTTCCTTTATAGTGTGTCAAAAACAATATCATGTACATGTTCAAATTCTGTCACAACTCAGGGTTGTCCTTAAGAATCGAAGTAAAAGGGGACATTCACCGGTAAAAAGTAGAAGGGGATCTGGGGTTCCTCACCTAATCGGGAGTTTAGGAGGAATGCCAAAATAACCGGGGAATTACATCATTATAGGCGGGGAAATTCCCCGGCCCCCGGGTCTTAGGGACAACCCTGCAATTTAATCTAATCCCAGTTATAATTGCTGAAATACCTGAATCTTTAAACCAGTTAACCCATTTCTGATATGTGTGACAAAAGTTACTTAAGTATTTACTCTCCTTGTTCCTAAATGCTCTTATAGACATGAATTTTCTTGTAAGATATATGAAAATCAAGGCCAAGTTATGAGCAGGTCTGCCACAGCCCAGCAGGGCTAACTCAATAACTGTCCAGTGAAAGGCCCATTCAAAAACAATATCTTTTCCTAACCGAATGTGTTACTTTTCCTAATAGCCATTGAACCCCCTAAAGAGTAAAGAATATATATTTGGATATATGATAAATAAACTTGCTACTCATGTTTTTATTTATTACAAAAATTTAAATAGAAATTTAATTGATAAGGAGCACCAGAAATAAAATATAACAAGTTTTTATGTATATTATGATTTTATCAAAATTTCCCAAAATGCAGTAATTTTCCCCAAATTTAATGGCCTTGACCCCAGTACATATTGTACCAAGAAGGAGCGTGAGAGCCCTACCCAGTGTTGAATTACTGCTGTTGTGGCTCGGTATGCTACACAGCTACTGTCAGGATTATTATTAATCATTGAGGAATCACAACTTATATCCTCAGGCTGTTAAAACTTTCTGGAAGTTTACATAAATTAATGTATCTACAGGGACACCTACAACTAAAGCACAGTGATCAAATCCAGGATGTTTCTTAACAAGTGGTCCTTGACCTGTTCTGAAAGTGATTTCCTTTATCATGCAGCTCAGCAATAGAAAGTGTTGAGCTTTTATTCGGTAAACTGTGGCTGATAATATATATACAAATGTACCGCGAAACTTTTCCCATTATTTATTGTCATTTGCTTTTCTGTCTGTGTCTGAAATTAAACATTTTATTTTAGGAGTTATTTCCAGGTATAATCTTTTTTTGAAAGATATTTAGAAGCTCAATATCCATCCTTCCCACAAAAATCTACTGTTTACTGTTTTTAAAATTTTTTTTTTCTCTTCAGAATTCGTTCCTTTGTTTTCCATCTTTTATAAAGACAGTAAATGTCTACTGATTATTTCATCTTTACAGACCAGACTTGAATCATTTTCTATTAAATTGACAGAAGTAGTAATGAAATGATGCTTCATAAGCATATAATTATGATATTTTTTTTCATTTCAGAAGACGCTACTACAACATGATTGGAAATCTTTCTAGTTACCTGTCAGACGAGCTGAATCTTGAGAATATGTTTTTACGTGCAAAGTAAAACTCCAGAATATGAGAGCTGGCATTTTTTTTTACTTGGTATGTATATATGTATTACATACAGTATTATCATAATGAACATGATGAAGAAAAAAAAAACAGTTGGAGAATGACCAGGAAAATTTGATGGCCTTCCACTGAGATTATTAAACAAGAGTCTTGTGATGAAAAACTTATTGTAAAAAAAAATGATTTGGGCTACTCTTTCCTATTTAACATATCAGTTATAATAATACATGAAACATTTTATTATGTTTTGAAAGTAAAATAAGTTCAATATCACACGTGTTACAAATGCTTTTTATACTATTAATTGGAATGTTATCACATTTTGAGAGCAACAGAACAAAATGATGTACATGTACAACTTATGGTGCTATGACAAAATGTGTCTGAATAATTAATTTAAATACAATTCTTAATAAATGAACTCAATGTTAATTTTATGTTTTTCATCACATCCTTTTTAATTTAGTTTATCTCTCAAAAGAAAAAAGTGAAAGCCAATGGAATAAGGTATAGCATTTATTTAATTTATAGGTGTGCATGTCATGGAGCTTTTATATTTTTGGCTTGAGTGAGCCAATTCCACCAGTGATGTGTCCAAACCAGTATAACGACCAAGCCTGGCTCACTCGAGCCTTGGAGAAATGTAAAACCTCTCCAAAGAACTACCACTGTGTGATGGTCAACTCTCCTGTTCAAGCCCATCATCCTCAGTATAAGGAATTTTGTCAAATACCAGTTCAAGTTCCCAAGGGTATGGCTCATTTTCTAAAGAGAAGTTTTCAAACAGAAATGGTTTAACAAACCTGATAAAGAGGTATCAATATATTGTAGTTCATGAAAGTATCCTAAAAGTAACATATGTCTACTCTCTTTCAGGGAAATTTGTTATTTTAAACAAAGATAAACATAACATTGAGTTTATCAGCTGTCCCCCTGAAAGATACCAACCAACAGAAAGAATGACAAATCAAGCAATGATTTTCCAGTGTGAGCAGGAGAAGTCACAATGTGATGGAGAGGGTCAGGCTCAGTGTGACAATGGATCTGCGGAGATGGACCGTACATGTCGTTGTGACTACACAAATGGCTACGTACTTGAAGCTGTAGCCAATGAAAACCCGGATAATATCACCTGCATTCATCCCAAACTGATAAATTTGGAGTGCACCAAGTTTGACGACTGTCGCCAGAACCAGACACTGAGTGAGACGTATCAGTGTGTGGACAAATGTCCACCTGGACAGGGTCATCCACCAGGGTCATCTCAGTGTAAAGATGTGTGAGTTGGTTAAATCTGGTCCCCCCCCCCCCCCAAAAAAAAATAATTATTAGGGATTTATGAAAGGAAAATTTTGCAAAAAACAAAATAACATATCCATACAATTTAATCAATATAACAGACTATATAAAGCTGGGTCAATTATTTTAAATCAGGGATTTTTAAAATGTGGACTTAAGAGGCAGTTTTAGATTTAATTAACACTTTTTTTTTCAAATAGCTGCCAAGTATCTCAATCATGAGCTTGTTTTGTCTCTGAAGTCCCATATTACTCAAATTTTGACACAATCTGTTTTCTAGAAAGATGCTTCTCATTTGGGTATTTTTTTTTTAAAAATTCTATTCACTAGTATTGGCATTTTTTCTTCGTTTGCATAATACAGTTTAACAATATCAGAGATCTCTTTTGCTATCTATTTTGAAAAATAAACTGACTATGTGACTTTTGATTTTGTTATCAAAACTTTAAAAAATAACTATGACATTATAGTACATTGTTTGTGTATTATAATATACATTGCTGGAAAACATACTACAAAATACAGTTGTTTTGTAAATTCACAGAATATCTTTCTTAAAAATAAATTTATCTTATAAAAATTTACCAGTATCTCTGCTGTATAAATAAATAGTGTGTAGTAACAGCTTGGAGAAAGTAACAGATTAATGCTAATACTATTGATCTAAAATGATGTATTTTTCAACCCAAATGATCTAGACATTTTCAATTTATTCATAGTCAAAACTTTATATCTGAAGGTTTGTTTACATGATTTAATCCTGATCTGTCCTTATAAGACGTACCATTAAGACATGACACTAATTTGCCATTTTGGAGACATTAACAGTATTAGATGAGTGAGACCTTAACTGTCCAACTTACCATAGCACCACTTCCAATTTACTAATTATCGATTCTCTGCAGCCTAAATTGCCTTTGACAGCTATTGTGTAATCTTGTCTACCTGAACTCTTTGTGCACTGAAGCGCCACAAAAGAATGATTGCACTTAATTAGTGTACAAAATGTGGCCCCCGGTAAATTGCGCAAAAATAAAGTATAGAAAATAGCCCCATGAGATGAATAATGCGATTCTTCTATATCTAAATCGCAACTTCCTGAAATTACAGGAATTAAAAGTCCATAAAAATAAAGAACGAAGCTGTGTTTTGTAAGAGGGGTCACTGCAATTCATGAATCTCCATTGATATTCAAAGTTATTCGGATTTTTAAAGCCTTAATGCATGGTGAGCGCATTGCTGCCCAAATTTCTCAAAAGGACAGAAGGTGTATAACTGTTGGAAATTCATCATATTTAAAGGAGAATTTTGGACAAGCCTGCGCTCGGGGTAAACTTTTTGAAAAAAGGTACAAAACACCGACCGTTTCCTTCACTATTCACGGGTATTTACATGTCATTGACCTCATTATGACCTGTTAAATATTCCAATTTATCACGTGATTTGTAGACTCGGGTAACTTTGTGAATACTAAAAAAAAATCAATAAATCACGTGACTTTAGCTCCGATTAGCAATTCAGACCGTTACATTTTCAATTGATCAACATCGAATTATTTTTTCTGCCCAGAATTTTTAGTAGTGCTTAATATTGCTAAAACTTTCATTATTTTGTGAGTAAATTTGAAAATTTCCATACCGGTATTTTTTTTTGTTGTTGTAATTTTGCATATTTTTCTCTGTAATTTTGCTTACTAGTATTTATTTTTATTTTCTCCCCACCCCTTCTTTTTGGTAAATTTTCTACAATTTTGCTTTGTTTATTTTATATCAATTATGTATTTACGTTGACCTTGATGTAGGGAGAGGGCTAAATAAAATAGGCTGACCTTTCTATTAAATTCCGTTTACTTTTCTTAACAAAATATTCTTTAAATTAAAACAAACATCTTTATTGATTTCAAAAGAGTTTGATATATACTTTTCGAAGGAGTTCTTTAGGTATGTATGAAATTCCTCTTTTGGTAAAAGCCAGGCCCGTAGGAAGCAATTTCAGTTTTTGGGGCACAGCCATACATTTTCAGTTGGGGGCACTATCAACTACATGTACCAAAAATTCCTTGACAAGCAAAAAAAAAGGGGGGAGGGGCATCAGACGTAATTATTGAAGGGACACAACTGTAAGCATGGATGGTATGGTAGCTATGTTTTCTACAGTGTGCTATATATATCGGCAAAATTGGGGGGGGGGGGGCGCTCTGTGCACCCCCCGGTTCCTACGGCCATGAAACCGATGATAATAGTGGCATCCGATGGATATAATATTGCTCAGGTATTAGGTCCACATTTGAAGACAGAAAAAAATAATGATGCTACCATTCATAAGAAATATTTGACTGATGAGGGTTATAGAATTTTAAATTTGGTAAAATGTAATGATATTTTAGTTTTAGTCCTTGAATTTAGGGGTTCGCTTGGGGGATCAATGAGTTTCTAAGGCATAGTCAACATCTAAACAATAGCATAATTCCTCAAAATGTTTTTGACTGTAAAAATATAAGTACATGGGGTAGAAGTACATAAAGATTGTTAAACACTGGAAAGCTTACTGGGACAAAAAATAACAAAACAAAACAAACAAGCACATATACAATTAATAAAATTGTTTTAGTGGTTAAATATCACTACAGCATCTCAAAAAACTGTTTTGTTTTGTTATTCCGTACACAAGTATTTTCTGTACTTAAGAATGGAGAGAGAGAGAGAGAGTTTTATATTATTTTGAAAATTCGATAAGACACTAATCTTTTTGAAAATACAGATGTTGTTTTTCTTTTATCTTATTTTTATTTTTTTCATTAAAACAATGTGAAGTGTGTGTTTACATGTACAAGTAGGCCTGGTTTATTTAGTATTGATTTTCCACGTATACGCCACGTACGCGATCGCAACTTACCCTATTTAACATTAAAAAAAAAAATTTTTTGAACAAAAGTAACCTGTCATTCACCTGTTGTTTTCTAAGTAAGCTGCTAGATTTTGTTTATTTACTATATGACTTCAAGGATCTACCAGAACCTACCAAAACTGGGGAAAAAATCTGGATTTAGGGAAGGAGTACATGTACATCTTCAAAATCCTCCCCCGCACCCCTCTTACCAAAAAAAAAAACTGGCTTAATCTTTGAAAAGTTTAAACATGTTCTTTGTGTTTACTTTTTGCGTATATTTTTATGCCCCCGGATCGAAAGATCCCGGGGGTATATTGTTTTTGTCCTGTCTGTCTGTTTGTCTGTTTGTTTGTCTGTCTGTCTGTTGTCAACTTTAACCTTGCCCATAACTTTTGATTGGTTGGAGCTATGACTTTCATATTTCACATGTGTATTCCTTGTGACAAGACCTTTCTTTGGGTACCATCATATTTGACCTTTTGACCTTGACCTTGGAGTTTGACCCACTTTTGCAAAATTTTATGAGACTTTAACCTTGGCCATAACTTCTGAACAGTTGGAGCTTGGGGTTTCAAACTTCACATGTGTATTCTTTGTGACAAGGCCTTCTTTTGGATACCAACCACTTTGACCTTTTGACCTTGACCTTGGACTTTGACCTACTTTTGAAAAACTTTAACCTTGGCCATAACTTTTGAACAGTTGGTGCTTAGGGTTTCAAACTTCACATGTGTATTTCTTTCTGTATTTGACAAGTCCTTCCTCTGGATATCAACCACTTTGACCCTTTTGACCTTGACCTAGGAGTTTGACCTACTTTTGAAAAACTTTAACCTTGGCCATAACTTTTGAATGGTTGGAGCTAGGGCTTTCATACTTCACTTATGTAATCCTTGTGACAAGACCTTCCTTTGAATACCAACGATTTTGACCTTGACCTAGGAGTTTGACCTACTTTTGAAAAACTTTAACCTTAGCCATAACTTTTGAATGGTTGATGCTAGGGCTTTCATACTTCACATATCTAATCCTTGTGACAAGACCTTCCTTTGGATACCAACCACTTTGACCCTTTGACCTTGACCTAGGAGTTTGACCTACTTTTGAAAAACTTTAACCTTGGCCATAACTTTTGAATGGTTGGTGCTAGGGCTTTCATACTTCACATATGTAATCCTTGTGACGAGATCTTCCTTTGGATACCAACCACTTTGACCTTGACCTTGACGTTTGACTTTTATTTTAAAAACTTTAACCTTCACCATAACTTTTGAACAGTTGTATCTAGGTCTTTCAAATTTCACAGGTGTTTTCCTCGAGACAAGATCTTTCTTTGGGTATCAACATTTTTTATCTTTTGGCCTGGATTTTGACTTGCATTTGAGAAACTTTAACCTTCGACATAAGCTACCATACGGGGGCATAGTGTTTCACAAACACATCTTGTTTTTTTATCATATCATGCTGAGTAGTTCCCAGAAGCCATTAATTAACTGGCTATTACATGTTTTCAATCGATAGATGAAATGCCCCGCCTACTCCGAATATTAATGAGACACAATAAAAACCCAGCTCGGACAAGCGCAACATTCTGGAATTAACACCCACTAGTGGACATTTTTAATTACCTTTATTAAATTTAAAGCGCCGTTCTCAATGTAAATTTTTGCAAGTAATGTACCACACAGATAACAAAATATTGGTTAGGTTTAAATTAATTAAGATTTGAGTTAAGAACCCTCTATACACTGCACACTAAAGAGTTCCAGTTCCATGGTATTTTTATGCAGTTAGAGTGGTCTACCCTTAGATCTAAAATGAAACAAATTGAAATCTGAATTTATTATTCAATTTGTAATCAAATCAAACATTCCTAACATTTCATTTAGTCTAGTTGAATTAAGTGAATGCCTTATTTGCATGCATTTTTGCCATTTAAATAAGCAACAGTGATTTCAGTTCACCAACAATTCATTGTCTTTGAATATTTTTCCTGAGGATAAATGGCAGGTACACTGTGTTGAAAATTAAATAGATAAACTCCATATTTATATCTTAATATGATATGATTTCCTCAGAGTCTAAAAAACGTTTTTCATTGGTGTATAGAGGGTCCTTAATTAGATGATGTTAGAGTGGTCCGAAAAAGGGGCCACGGCAATATGCTTAAGTGGAAACATTCTTTCCTGTTGCATGCATCGTCTGAAATAACAGAGTTTGTCTGAATACATGTAAGCAAACAAGCATGGGTGAATGAGGAAAAAAAAACACGGCTGGGACATAATTTTACATATAATTAATAGAAAAAAAATATTTTCACCACCTTAGAAATTAGCGCACATGTATATATGCATGGTTAATCAAAATTCAGGGCTAGACAAATAGCATTGCCCGACGCCCGGGACAACCAATTTTGTTTAGTGGGCAAGTTATTTGATAAGTGGTGCCTGCCCGCGGACAAGTGCTTTTTCCCATTTACAAAAAATCATATACTCAATATGTCTTTTGTGTTACCGCTTTTAAAATATCATGAATCACAACAAAGCATCTGTTTTCGCTGCTGTTGACCACTATAGAATACTCGGTCGGAACTTCTCTAGAATTTACCCATGAATGTGTTGTTAAAATAAACGCAAGTCGTAAAACATGACATCTTCCGATGTCGTCAAAAAAGTTGAATTGGATTTTAGACTTTTTTTATTGACAAAATATTAAATTCATTCTGTGAATACAGACGTGCTACTGTTATTAAAATTGGTTGTTGATTGGCAATCACATAGTCATGAAGTCGATAGCTCAATCGGCATGCAGTAGTGTTCACAGATTTGTCTCTTTTGTAGGTTTTTTGAGATCATCTTCACCTTTTTCATTAAATTTATTCAAAGAAAGTATATGGAGTATCTTATTGAAGAATTTTGAGGAGAATAGAATGAAACTTTGACTTTACCAATGCCCTGAAAATATCGAAAGAAATCTGGGAGAATTTAGTGATTTTAGATCTAGGTTGATTCCCGTGTAGTGTCTCAGTTGAGAAATAATTTAATGTTAATGATTTTGTTTAAATTAAGAAACAGGTCGGACAAACATATTTTTTGGTAGGACAAGTAATTTTATGATGATAACCTGTCCGAGGGCAAGTAATGCAAAATTCTATTTGTCTACCCCTGAAAATTACTTAGAATTTTTAACTGTGTTTTCCTTATTTTATTTTTAGCAATGATGTGAATTTGCAAAATTTAGAAACATAAAAATTAATAAAATTATATACCATTCTGACCCAAATTCACAAAAATAAATTGACGTAAAAATTTCCAGAGATACGGTAGGCAAGCTTGTGCTCTTATGTTTTCTGAGACAAAATGTGATGTAAAATCAAAGAAAATTGCATAAAAATGAGAAAATTGGGAAATTGACATACTTCTGACCTTTCTGTGGCCTCTGTGTATCCTATAGTTTACAACCAATACTCATTTTGTGGCAGGGGTGACAACAGGTTTTTATTGATAAACTGTTGCATCATTCTAAGAGGCACCCAGGGGCCAAAAAGGGTCTTAGCTTATCTTGTCCTTTGCAGATATAAAAACACTTTTGTTAACCGATATTGAAAAATATTTTAATTTTGGTCTTCTTGACTTCTTTTTGTATTATGAAATGCATCTAAAAATGAAAAAAAAAAATTTAGTAGAGTCTTATTAATTCAAAAGTTAGATAACACACAAGCTACAAAATTAAAAGAATTATTCTACTACATAACATTGTATTCTTGCAATTTGTTTCTTAGGATTTCAATCCCTGCACCTGTTCCAAGTTTCCCTTCCTCAACAACCACACAACCATCTACACCAAGAGTACCTGCAGGTAAGTTCTGTTTGATTTTTGAAGTGAAGCACGTCATCTAAAGGAATGTTTTTCTAAAACTTTTCATTTTTGTGTATACATTTGTGTATTTTTTTTTTAGACAATGATATTATGAAGTCTATGAAAGAGAAAGATGACAACAAAGATGTGATAATAGTTATTGTTATTGTTGTGGTCATCGTCATTGGAGCAGTCATTAGTGGTGTGATTTTTCATATCTGTAAGTACTACATGTACTAGTTACTAGGTTGGTTGAAGTAAAATGATCACTGTTTTATCTTTAATCATGTTGTCACTCTTTGTGGCAAACATTTTTATTCTTTTGACTATATATGACTGCCGTCATGAGAAAAGGGCCCTTAAGGTCAAAATTTCACAAATTGACTTTTTGGTAAATTTTGATAGCCGAACTCTTTCTGAATGCAAATATACATCAATCTTTAAAATATCTCACTTTTTCAGCATTCAGCATTTTAGTAAGGTCGCTTCAAAATAACGTTGACGTTACTTACTGAAAACGTAATGACGTCGCGTGCCTCAAATTCAGTTTCCAAACAGTCTTTAAAAAACTACAATTTTTAAATAACCTTAATGATTTTGACACATATAAACCTGAGATTTTTTTTTCTTCCAAGCAACTAGTATGTAATTATTCATGAGGGGAGTCTCATACTATTTTCATTTTATATTAGAGCAGATCTAGCACTAGTATATATATATAATCCAAATTTAGGTGAAAAACTCAAACTTTAATCTATAGCACTTTCACTTACAGTTTTTAAATAATTATTCACAAATATAAAATAGATGAAAAGTTGTTACCAGAGGTTTTTATCATTAAATAAGAATTATCTGGAGAGAAGTGGGTTCTCAATTCAGCTGGTAAGCATTGCATATAACTTTTAAAAGGAAAAAATTGTGTCAGGGGCACGGAAAGGGGCTAATGCAGTTGCAAGCCTTGTTTCTTTTTAGTATACAGTTGGGATATGTCATTCTTAAAACGTGCATAATAACAAATTTTTTGTGGCAGTCTAGTGTATATCAAGCAGAAAGATTTACAAAAAACTAAAAAATAACCACTGTGCACTTTAAAAAAAAATGTTTCAAATATAGTGCGAATTTCCTCGACAATACATTTTATAGAAAATATATATTATCTTTGACCCAAATGCCTATGATAAAAATTCAAACACTGAGCTGACCTCAATTCACATAATAAGTTAAATCGTACTTGTATCATTCAATCCATCGTATGCAGTACTTTCGTAGTGTAATACTTATTTATGATTGCTAATGCATAATTGTATGCCCTAATTTAATTTCTAATGCGTATTTTGAAAAATTCAATGCATATTTCTGCAAATACGCACCTTATCTGGAGCTCTGTATTTGTTAAAAAACAATCTTCTAAAAGTCAGCAGGGTCAAAATGACTGAGGTGAGTGTTGTAGCCATTGAACATCTTGTTTTAATGGTGAAAGTTCTAAAATATGAACTGACCCAATATAATGACAATGGTAGAAAAATACCATTAAAGGCCTATAGCTGATCATTATAAACTAATTAAGTGAATAAAAGTGTTACAGATTTTTTTCTCATTGTTTTAGATTGTAATTATCTTCAATCCAAAGGGAAAACAAGTACTACAACAGTTGTAAACAATACCCACAATATATATTTCCAGCAGGAGAATACACAGTATAATGGTAAATTATTGTCAAATCCTACATTTGGATCAGATCAATATGTTGCCCAGATTTATATTCGAATTATACATAATATATATGTTATGTATTAATTACCATTTCTTCCCAATAGTTTGATTTTTTTCTTTAACATAAGTAGGAAGAAATATTTTTGAACAAAATAAAAGAATTTCAGTTAATTGTGTGTAAATATGAAGATTGATTAAAATGTAGTATACATATTGAATTTGAGTTTCTTTTACAGTTACTGAAAATAAGATTGAAGGTATGTTTGCTTTTTGCACAATGGAGAGAATTTTACACTTTTTAATCAAAGATATAAAATAGGAACTGTGAATACAAAAATGTCCAATATACATGTACATAGGTCTAAAACTAGGATAAAAAAAACCTGCTCACAATCAATATCTTATATCTGATGACCTAATTTTAAGAACAGACATTACAAATTATAAAGTAAATAATGTACATTTGAACTTTGATATCTTGAACATGAATATCTTGGATATGTCTCAGGGAATCTCAGCATGTTGTCTTTATGTGTTTTAACCTCAATTTCTTGAAGTTTTTTCTCAGCCACATGGCATTCAAGATAACAAGGTTTGACTGTATAATAAAAATTGTTTTAAAATTATAAGCCTGCCAAAAAATTTGTACTGGTTGTCTAGTATGGTCAGTTTGAGCAAACATAGACATGAAATTTTGATTATTTTTTTTTTTAGAACACATTGACACTTTAATTAAAGTTGATGAAGTAGGGAATATGGCAGTTGGAGGAGAAAACACCATTACATGTAATATAAACGATGGAAGCCAGACTGATCAGGTAATTGTTTCTAACTTCCTGTTGTATGTCAAGGATTTATAAACATAAAAAATGAGAACAAATCTGTTAAGTAGAATAAGACTACACATAGTAACTACATGTATTGACAGAGCTATGGTAATAAACTAGATACTAGTGATGCAAATCCTTAGTAATATGATTACAAGTAAAAAAAAAATATAACTACCAGTGAATGTACATTGCTATTAGTATTATAACCAGTTAATGTACAGTCATATGATATTGTTATTGGTGTATATGTCAATGTATACTTTCAATTATACTCAAGTTTACATTTTTCTTGATATTAGTATTTACCTATCCACCTTGCCGCTAGTGGCACATAGGGTCTCCGTGATTTAAGTATATGCTTCTGAGTAGTCAGATTGCAAAAATTTCAAAACGCTAAAATAAACTTTGATACTGTAATTTTTTTTTCACCTAAGTGGCTAATTTAAATACATATGAATTTCACAGAGTAAATTTTCAGTTTTGAATCAGTTTACTATTTTGGACAAATTATTACAAACCCAACAGATGATTTCACTTGGGGTCAATACCTCACCATCCCTGAATGTTTTTCTTTAAAGATGGGACAGGTCATTTTTGCTTTTGAAGAATAACTTTTAGGCCATCTTTAAAAAATGTTTGTTTGCCATCTCCCAACCAACTGACTAAAAGTGGCCCGACTCAAAACTTATTTAAACCTTCAGGAAATAATTTCATTTTTATTAGCCCACCTGAGCTGAAAGCTCAAGTGAGCTTTTCTGATCACCCATTGTCTGTCTGTCCATCTGTAAGTAAACTTTTCACATTTTCAACTTCTTCTCAAGAACCACAGGGCCAGTTTTAACCAAAATTGGTACAAAGCATCCTTGGGTGAAGGGGAGTTTAAATT